AACCCTTGATCATCTCAGTGGCGGATCCAGAGACGATTCTTGGGGGGGGGGTGAAATTGAACTTATTGACAAAAAATAAAATGGGTAACTTGGGCAACTTATAGTTACTATATCGATAATTCCGCTCAGCTGGGCATAGCGTGATTCTATTGGACAGTCAAGTTGAGGCGTTTTTGGCGAGATAAACGGATTTAAGGGTTAGTTGGGCCAAAAAATACGCAATTTTCAATTGGAATTTTTTTTGTGGACAAAGGAAAAGACATAGAAAGTTCAAACTTGTCACATATACAATTTATCATAGTTTAAAGATGATTTAGCAAAAATTTCAAAAATTTTTAGAGCATGTCCTGAAGCAGGACACAGGGCGACGTAAGCCCATGCCCAAAAAAGGACCCCTCTGGCGACCGTCCTGCAGGACGTAAAAATCTACTGAAGCAAATAATTCAAAGATGTTCTTGTTTAGTATGAATGTGGTTATGGAATAGACTAAAATTATAAAATTTTAATAAAAAATAAAAAAATGGCGGCGATTCAAAATTTGTTTTCTTCTTTTTATTCACTTTTTTGTTGATTAAAAATCCAATGTATAAGCTATCAATATAATTGTAATCTATTCCATGGACAGCTTCATTACGCGTATTTAAAAAAAAAAACATTAAGATTCGTTAAAAATTGACTGAGATAGGACGGTCGCCAGCTCGAAAAATTTAGTTTTCCAGAAAACGCGTTTATGTTTGCTTTGTACCTCCTATAAGTCGGCTGACTCGGAGGCTCATAACTTTTAAACTATTACGTATTTCGATTTGCCGTTTTAGTATGATATTCTAGACACATAACTATCAAAAAATGCAAAAAAAAAATCGATTTTTTTTTTGTAACTAACCAGAATGGACCCTTAAATGAAACGTCACCATGCGAGTGTTTTCATACTCAATAGTGCCAATTGTACAGTATTATCGTATAGGATAATCATGTAACGGTTGGGAACACTGCCAGATAGTAAAATTTTCAGGTTCCACAGGGGGGGGAATTTCCATAATTGCCCCCCCCGTGGATCCGCCACTGGATCATCTGCATCCGCCAAATCATCAAAAAACTGATCAAGGTCGTCTTCTTCAACAGACTGGCTTAAGAGATCAACGGCCTTTAACCATGTTATGTTCAGTGATGTCATTTTTTTTTTAGCAAAAAAAGCTGGATTAACAAAAAAAAAAAGCTGAAAAAAGCGGAATTCGATAAAGAAACAACTAAGAAAAAAGCTGATTTTTTAAAAACTATTTTTTGTTTGTTTAGGCCTAATCTGACGACGAAAATCCGCTGTAACAATTGTGATAGCGGCCAAACACCATATAAAAAAACTCTGTGAAAAAAGGAAGAAAAAAAACTTTTTGCCTCGTCGATTTTGCCGGTACTCTGATGACGAAAATGATACCTGCGAAAATTGAATGGCGTTGCTAGATCAAGAGAGTAAACAGCTGATATGGTGCTATTGCAATAATTCATTTTATTTATTCTTACACTCCTAATGGAGGGAAAGTTCAAGGAAAAAAGTGGCATTGATAAGGGCTGTCAAGGCGAAGACCATTATATGGGATTTAACCCACAAAGGGCATTTTAATGCCATATTAATTAACAAATTCGTTTACAAACAGCTGTCCAGTGTGACCAAAGAAAAGTCCTAAACGGCATAAAAGGTACATTTTCATGACGTTTCATGGCCTTTCCTTAATTTTTTTGGTCACACTGGTTACAGAGCAAAATATTCAGCGATTCTGCTATAACACATGTTACAGCGGATTTTCGTCGTCAGAGTACTAGCCTAGTACTACAAGGCTTTAATTTGGCTGAAAACCCGAAAAACCTCGGCATTTGACCAGGGAAGGGTCAGCGTTTCTAACGCAACTAATGCCTGTCCCTTAAAACGTTTCCGCCACTGTCCTTGTAAGTTAGCACTTCATTCCAAAAGCTAACAGTGTCGTCGACATTTTGCATTGGGATTAGTTTTATGTCATCATAATGCCGTAACGGCATCATGGAAGACGCGCCAAATATAGGTGTGGACTTTTGGATGATGTTATTCGATATAAGTATATATAGATACTGTTACAATATAAATTAAAAACAATAAACACATTTAAAACAGCACTTAAAATGTATTAAAATTAAAATTAAGAAAAAAGCATCTCAATTTTCTAAAAAAGCTGGAATTCCCGCTACCCGCTGTTTTACAAATTTTCCCGCAATCACACTTCAAAAACAGTTGAATTTGACGGGAAAAAAGCGGAAATGACATCACTGGTTATGTTATGACGGTGTATATTTGGTCCTTGGTTGCCAAAGCTATTTAAAAGGGATGTAACCTCAGCAGACAAATTTTGGGCTCGTATGCCTCTTATTAAGAGAGGCACAAAGTACAAACAACAATTTCACTTCCATTATAAAATTGCGCATTGACTCCAAAAATACATCGATTTACTGTAACCATTTTTAAGTAAATTATTTTGCCTTTTAATTTGTATTTTTGTCTTTAATTTTGCCACATTTTTCCGAATCTCATCCATAATATTCCTGGAATTCACAGCTGGCATATTCACACCGGAAAAAATTTGTTCAGTCAAGGTTTTGAATGCTTTGGAATCCAAAATAGCAAATGGCATTTTTCAACGCAAGCCTCCTTCACGGCTCTTTGACTGAGTCCAATTGCTGGGCCAATTCAGACTGATACATTTCGTTTACTTGGTTTTTAAATGGCGTTCCGGATTACAATTATAGTTTCCGGAAAAAGTTTTCTTGCATACTTTGCACTTCGATAAGTTTTTTCCCACGTCGAAATAAAAAAAACTCCTAGAAACATAACTCCGATTACAACCCATTTTTCTGAGTTTTTATTATTTTAAAATATTTTTAAGCAGTTTTGCAATATTTTTAAGCAAGTGCGATTAGCGAGCGGTTGCTTGTAAAGTTTAACTGCATCGACTGCCGAAAACATAAAACGTACAAAAATTTGATTTGAATTTCGCTTGATGTTCCAATATTAATGCATATACATATGTTGCATTTTCTGTTATGTGTGTGAGCTTAAAGCTTTTATGTTGTAAACAAGACAATGACGAGCATTAAACTAGGTACGCTTATATGCAAAATATTAACAAGTAAAATTAAAATAATAATAATAAATATACTAAAAAATATTGGTAAATTTTTGTGTTTGTTAGTTCTAAAAGGTGTTTTTTTGGTTCGTCTGTTTTCGATTCATAGAATCATGTAAACAATTTTTCAAAAAAGAGCAAAAAAATATCGCTAAAAATGTATTCATTATTTTTAGCGACATTTTTTCACTTAAAATTATAATTATTATTCTTTGAGCGATGAATTAAATATATATAATATAAATGTATAATTATTAATGGCAAGCAAAATGTATTAAAATCAATAGGTCACAAGAAAGGAAGCTAACTTCGGCACGCCCAAGTTTGTATACCCTTGCAGATTGGTTTTGATATTTATATTATGGATTTAAATGCTGAAAACACTCACAAAACCGAGTTTCATTACATTTTACCTATACTAATTGTGTTTACAGTTTTACATTCCCAGCTTTACATTTTCTCTACATCTACCGATCGCTTCTATGGCAGCTATATGATATAGATGTTCGATTTTTATGAAATTTATACAAAAATTCTAAAATAATAAAAAAAAAGCTCATATCTGAGAGTAGATGAAAATACGTTAAAAAACAACAAAGTTATAATGTTTCTATTAATTTCCCGATTATTCCTATGGCAGCTATAAGATATAGTCGTCCGATTCTCATAAAATTAAAACCGAAATTCTGAAATAATAGAATATGGCCATATCTCAAAACTGATGCAAAAATGTTGAAAAACAGCCAAGTCCGTTCCGACATACATAGTAGTGAGAGTATTCATAAGACTATGTGCAAAGTTTTATTCAGATAGCTTTAAAACTGAGGGACTAGTTTGCGTAGAAACAGACAGACGGACATGGTTAGATCGACTCGGTTGTTGATGCTGATCAAGAATATATATATACTTTATAGGGTCGAAAATGTCTTTAGCACTGGGTTGCAAACTTCTGACTGAAATTAGGAACGATCGGCTGACATGAACACTCAGTTATCAGAAGCGTCTAAAAAAAGATAACAAAAAAACTGTTAACAAAATTTGCAAAACATAAAGGAAGAGCAGCGAAAAAATGGGACCTTAAGTCAATGATTAATGATTATTTACAAAACAGAAAATATCAGCAGAAAGGGGTAACATAGCTAAAAGTATATTTAACATAAAAAATTACGTTTTCATAATAAGCAAAAAAAGGCATAATCAAACTAAAAGACACAACAAATAATAAATCAAACAAATTAATTTAACCAAAATATTTTCCAAAAGAAACTACAGTTTATCAACTAATTCCATTGGATATAACTATTTTAATAGATGGACGTTCTTATTTTGAAACATAATTATATTCTGAGAATATCGATGTCTTTGACATTCAAATGGAAAAAATTTACAACGTAAATAACGTTAATTTTGCTTGCAAAAAAGCTATTTTTCCGCAAGTCGCTAGCTTACAATTTATCCCGCATTTTGCTTTTGAAAACCGCCAATTCTAGCGGGCAAAAGGCTAAATCGGCAACGCTGATCCTGGCGCATTGTAGAAACGAATTCGCTTTAGATATTTTCCCGCCAAAGCTCAGCTTTTTCCTGGCTAGATCTGGCTTGAAGAGAGATAGAAAATAGAGAGTTGCTCTTGCCCTCTCTCTCTCTCATCGCTTATTCCTCTTTAGATTGCTTCATCAGCTCAGCGCTAGGCAGAGCACAGAAAAAGGGAAAGAAGGAATTGCAAAAAAATTCATTTCAAAAAAATAATTCTGCCAGAGCGGTTGTGCCGTCCCGGAAAACCGGAACATTTTCTAGCTAAAACAAACATCGGTATATTATCCACAACCAGAAGGAGGTATTTTGTATCTATCCAGTGACGGTCTCACGACAGCGGCACGTTTGAAACTCGTATTTTACGAATGCGATAGTATCTCATCAGTTCAAAAATTATACTCAACGAGGGTGGTTGTGTGGGACTGAATCGTGAAACGACATCGTGGAAAAGCGAAACGACTCAAAAATTTCCTCAACGAGGGCGGTTGTGCGGTCTCTTTCGCAACGGATCGGAACGCCGTGGGAGTCGGAAAATAGCTTGAAAGTGTGCGTGTGTGTGCATCAGTGTTTAGTGCAAAATATAATAAATAAGTTGATAAGCCAGTCGTGGAAAATGTGCACTAATAAATGCCCGTTTCAGGCCAATTGAATGTTCTAAACAGAAAATTCAACGCGAGTTCAAGTGAGTGCCAATTGCGAGACAAAATGGCTGCATTTCAACGCATTTAATTTACAAGCAACAGAGAGCGAAAGACGACAGGAAAGAAGGCAATCGGAGAACATAACACAAAGAGGGAGAGCAAGAGAGAGATATAGAATGAGAGCGCAAAGAAGGAGAGCGAAAAAGTAAACATGTGAAAAAGTGTTGAATAAATTAGTTTAAAAAAATCGGCGTTTACATTCAGCATTTGATTTACTATTTAATATAAGCTTGTTTTTTTTTTAAATTTGTATTCATTTTAAATTGTTTTCTTTCCATTTAATGCAGCTAAATAATTGAATGCACTTCGCTGCGTTTGCGCCGCAGCTGTCTCGTCCTCTCTTTTACTCATCGCTCTCTGAGTTGTCTTTACCTCGCTCTCTCTCTCTCTCTCTCTGCGCTTGCTCATCGTCTCTTATCGAGTGCGAGCGGGAGACCAATAGTCTTGCCTCTACGTGTTGTGATTTTTCGTATTTGTTTTAGTGTTTGATGTTTCTATCCTTTTGGTTTTCTTTGTTTTTCCACTTCCTCTGGAATAAATACTAAATAAAATGTAAAAGAAGTACAAAAGAGGAAAATAAATACATACAACAAAATCAAACCAACCATGATTCATACATACAGTTAACCATACGCAACAGCTGTTGTGGCCTCAAAAGGAAAATGAAAACAAATACAAATTTCCCTCTTCACCTCTATCTTTTTCTTTTAGCAATTGCACTGCCGGAAAGTTAAAGTTAACTAAACAAAAGCCTCTCATCAAAACAAATACTTTTTTTGATTTTAATTTTAATTTCTTCAAATAAAAGTAATAAAATAAAAATCGTTCAAGAAAAAGAAAAAGTGTACGTGACAACAGCTCAAGAAGAGTAAAAAAACAACAAAATTTCGAAAATAGTTCGTGCGTGCGAAGAAGTGCTTCGAAGTTTTATGGCCCATGCAAAGGCGTCTGTAAGTATGTACATATTGTATGTGCAAGTGTGTGTGTCCAGGTGCAAGTGCTAAATTTGTGTTTGCAAATGGCCCGGTCAGTGCGAAGCTCTAATTAAAAAGTCCCGAAGCGGAGAGGACGTGGTGTCGCTAAAGCAACCAACTGCCGAAATTTTATAGAAAAACAACCCCCAGCCGCCAATAAAAAACAAGCAGAAATCGGTGCCAATTCTGTTTATTCAACCCCAGCCACGTTGGATCCTTGTCGCATATAATGTCATCAAAATGTGTTTTCAACATTGCATTCGTGTCGATAATTTCCATCATCATCGTAAATGGTGAGTGCTCAAATAAAATAAATATAAAAACCAAACAATAGCAAAGAAATAAAGATATGTAATATTCCGGTTGTTATTTTAGAAAGCTTAAGTTTTATTGGAATTATGTGTTTTATACATAAGAAATCGAACTTTCTTCATTTTGTGTAAAAACATTTAATAACTCTTAGTAAAATCATTTTTTAAAAAAACAAATATTCTATTAAAAAAAAAGACAAATTAAATAAACAATTCTTACTAATCAAATATAAAACTTATACATTTATAAAATAATATAATTCTTTTCTATCAATGATCCACGCTAAATTTGTAAACATATTAGTCTTTCATTTGTTGGACTTCCGGGAGGAAATTTTAGCTATGCTTTGGAGCGACTGACTGAGCATTTATTTCAAGGCTATGAAGTCTTAGCCTCATTCACCCCTCCCTAGAATATTGTTCGCTCCCAGCAAGCACTAACTAATTAGTTTAAAAGGAGCTTAAACTTATCTGAATTAACTTTAGTTATGATTGATTATTATTGCAGTAATGAGATTGGGTATCAACGTATTTTTACTAAATATTCATTGAAAATAACATATTCTTAATAGTATTTATTAATGTATGAGACTATTTTTTAGTTAATATCAAGTATGGAAGCAGACTACTGTTTAGTACTCGTAGGTATCAGTTCAGTTTTAAGCTAAGTAAAATTTTCTGGATTTTAATTAAAGTTTCTGAAGTTCGGTTTCTTTTAAATTTCGAAGTATATATGTTGTTATTACTTTTTTCAATACCCTAATAAATACATACAAAGGTATTTATTCCTCTACTCTTCACATTTACTGACTGTTCATATGTATGTACTTATATATGTACATTTATATAAACATATGTATGTACATATATATTTTCGGGTCCACTTTTAGGTTTTTATTTCGATAAAGCCATGATGATTCATGGAAACCCGAGTAAGACCATGGGGACTCATTCATTTTTATTGTGAAATAACCAGATTGATGATGAACAAATACCTTAAATTATAAAATGTATTATATTGTTACAATAGGTTTTGTTATTTAAAAACTATACAAAAAATCGTATATTTACTCTGGCTGAAAAACAAAAAATTAATTTGGAACAAGCAGTATTTTAATAATTAAAGGTAGTTCCCTTTTTCGCCACTTCAACTAATTTGTTTGCTTGAAAAAAATTGTCTTAGTTCAACATTACAAAACACGAGGCGGGGCTACAAGCATAACAACAACATCCACTTTTGGCTAATTAGCCAAAGTCAAGCAACATGAACATGAGCGCACAGAGAGGGCCAAGAAACAGATGGAGAAGATGGCTGGAGAGGCAGAAGCGAAAACTGGTTTATCCACTTGGCCGGCTAATCTGACAACAAAGGAGAGCAGGCCCAAGAACTGAGAACCGAGCTGAATAGAGAATAGGGAAAAAATATACGCTTAGTCATACAAAAACGAGAAAAAAAAGACAAGTTCTTGAATTTTATACTCACATGCAAAAAAAAAAAGGGTCAATGTCTCGGTTGAAAAAAAAAAAATAAATAAATATGAAGCTGCTACTATAAGAGAGAATAATTTTGCCCTATCAGTTTATCCCACAAACAAGCAGCGGAAGCAAAAAAAAAGAAGAACACAGAAATATATAAAATGGAACTATGGATAAATAAAAATATCAGATTGTCCAGATAAAGCTGCGAAATTAAATAAAGATAAGTGGAGTACAAATAATTGCGCCTATAAAATTGTTTACGTAATCTTCAGATTGTTATACTTTTTTTTATTACCTGAATTTGTTCATATAGGCTTTCAAAAGTTTACAGTTTTTTTTGTTATTTGATGTTCTCGTCGATATTATGTTGCAGTACCGAACTTAAGAGTTCAATTTTTTTTTGGCTTATCCGGGTTATATTTTGTTTAAAAGCCGGCTACTAAAAGTTTGTTCAAATATAATTTAAACGAATCAAATTATATAAGGAAGAAGAGATGTAGGCGGCAGGGCATGAAACAATGGACACTTCTGTCATTTTCCTTTGCTTTATTTCCCATACGTGCCAAGTGCATCATAGTAAGAAAACAATAATGAAGTTAGCAACAATTCAAATTAGAGATGACAACGTGACCGTGAATATAAATGGTTGTGTTATTTTATAATAAAAATATAAGTCTTTAAATTATATCTATCATGATGATATATTGTGTGGGCCTGTTTTTGCTGTGGTATCTGCCAGATACAAATGTATTCTTCATTGCAAAATGTGTTACAATCAACAATCCCCAGGCATGCGACTGACATTTATTGTTTGTCGAGTAGCAACCGAATAAATATAATAAAAAAAGCCATTTATTTATACGTGGATGTACATGTAGCGGATAAATCCCTTAAGCTTGTTGAATGAGTCAAGCGCATGGCACATCAAATTGATGAGTAGCTTTAATGAAAGGGCGTGACTTGATGTAAATTGCTTTCTAGGGTGCTGCACATGCAGAGTAAAGTAATGCAGGAAGTAAACGTATTAGAGTGGATCGCGAAAACGTCCTTATTCCTGAAGGTGAAATACCCGTCGGTAATATTTAAATTGACCGATTTTAAAATGGTTTGGTATTCCTATTATTAAAACTGTCTTTACACTACTTTTTGTACCTTAGAATAGAATATTCTTATTTTTTGTTGTACATTTCTGAACTAAACTTAATTTAGATACATCATACGTATATGGTTTTTATATCATAGTTTTATTATTTTTATTTTATCTTATTTTTATTAAGCAAAAACTTATAATTTAAAGAATGTGTAATACTATTACAATTCAGATAATCAATGGTTATTACTGATGCGTAGTTACAGACCGAATTCCACTTCCTGCGCCAGTCTGATAAATGTTATTGTTTGCTTAGGATTTTTATATAGCGTTTAATTCAATAAGGAAAAGCAAAGTTGGCTACTAAAAATGCGCTTAAATTGGGCTTTATGTGAGAATTATGCTGCCTCATTATTCCAAACGGCCTAAATAACAATCAAAGCGGGACTTTTCGCATGACACCAAGGGGGGTGGTAAAATTTAATTAAATTATTAAAGTTGCGCGGTAAGCCACAGAGATACGTAAACAAACAGACGAGAAGCAGACAAAAGGCATAAAAACTTTTCTTTTCTTTCCTTTATCCACTCTTTTTTCCAAGTCAAGTTGCGAAGCATAAACAAACAGAGGCGAGCGATTCGCCAAGACGGAGATACATTATGCACAGACGCAGCTACAGATATAAGATACAGAAACAGCACGATCGGAAAAACAAACAAAAACGAGAATGGGAATGAAAAGGAGAAAACTAAGAACAAGACCAAGTCAAAGCACATTTTCCTGTTGGCATTCGCTTTTCGCATTCGCATTCAAGTGCAGACTCTCCCATTCATTTGACTGGGAGGGCCACAAAATTATGTGCATACACAGGGATACATGTAAATAAATCTCAAAAATTACATACATACATAGTTTCGCCCCTTTTGGAAGCAGTTTCACAACGAATTCGCAAATGTTGGCATTTTAGGTGTTTAGAAAAATAAAGAGGGGATCTTAATTTTTTTTAGAAACTTGGAAGTCTTGACTAAAATTAAAATTAAATTATTTGGTTTTAATTTAATAAATATTACTATTAAATTGTATATAATAGTAGAAGTAATAGTAATATAAAACCATTTTACCCTTGAGGGTAAAGCGAATTCGGCTTCTGAGGAATTCCTGGCGACCATTTCCTTTATTGTTCAGTCTTCATCTTTATGCGTTTTTCCACTTTGTCTGTCTCACAATTTTCTTATTGTTGCTCTGTGTTACGACTGCTAAAGCTGGGCGGAAAAGGGATAGGGGTTGGTAGATGGCAGGGCCGCTTCTGCTACTTCACAGAAGTCGACATTTTTATGCTGCTCGATCTTTTGGGGTATTATCATACCCCTTGGTTAGGTCCCATATTCAGCCGGCTTTGCCGCCGCTTTTCGTCGGTGTGCCAAAGTTGATTTTCATTAGTTTTAATGTCGCTCATTATGTTAGGTCTGTCTGTGTCTGGAATCTCTTCTCTGTTTCCGTGCCTGTGGGACGACAGATACATACATATATGTACGTACATTCCAGACATACGGCACACGCAGATTGCTGCCAATAAAGGCAAACTTTTGGCCAAAGAGTTGTGGGTCTGCTGTGTGCGGTTAAATAATTCATTTGCCATTCCGGAACACAAATATGCAGAAGAATGTATAGAAAGTTCTTTCCCTGATGACAGCTATCAAAATTGATTATATTGAAATCTTCTAAACACACAATATGTACGAGGCAACCGAAAAATTGAAACCAGATAAAATGATTAATGCGTAATGCTTTTGCAGTCATTGCATGGTGTGAATATTTAAAAGTGTATAGACATTTTTGCTTACATTTTTATTTAATGACTGACGAACCAAATTTGCATCTCTTTTGTTAATTTTTTGATCAGCATCTGACTTACATTATAATACCCAGCAAGGGTATAAAACTTATGTTAAAGATAGAACTAAAAATGCGAAATATAAGATATATCTATGATTTTTTTTCTAAATTATATTTAACGGTTTCTTTAATATTTGTACTCTACCATCAGCCATGTAAAGACCCCTTCCGTAAAAACCCCAAATCCCTAACCCTCAAGTTGGCCCTCTTTGCCTTTTGGCCCATCAGAATGGAAACATTTCCCTTCCCCGTCTCATTTGCGCTTTCCTCTTTTCTGTTTTCTTAAGTGGATTGTAATTTGAATACTTTTGCGTGTGCTCCACTCTAAGTTACTCAAAACTAAAAGAAGCTAACCAGGATTCTTGGTTCTCGTTATTTAGCTTGATGCAATAATTTTTTTTTCAAAATAGCAGAAAAACATTATTAATAAATATTTACCATTTTGTATCTTTTCAGGTTACGCAAAAGATATTTCTGGAGTTAAGAGAGGTGAGTTGAAGGATGGAAATGCTTATCGGCTTGCTGAAAAGTCATTCTAAATTGTGTTTCTGAAGTTTTTTTTTTTAAACGATTAATAATTCATTAATAGTAGGGTTAAACCCCAAAGTGTGAACGCCAATGAATTTGTTATGGCTTTGGTAGCTTCTCAAACTTAAAGTAATAAAAGTGGAGAGCTTCCTAGATGGACAGAACTAACCCCAATCTCTGGACAATTTGTGTAGTTTTTTTTAAGCCCCGCGCATTTGGCCCATTCACACGTTGGCACTTCGGCACGTCTCCCCTTAGTGCAATTTATAATATGTGCCGACAAAGGAAGCAAAAAGAGTAGGAAAAAATGCCCGAAGTTGAGGAGCTCTAAAATTCGTTTAGGCCGTCCCACTCTTTCTCACAAAGCCACTCAAAGTCCCATGCCTTTTCCCATTTGTCTAACATTTCGCCAACATTTCTCCGCCCTTTCTCCACCTCCATTTCCATTTTTTTCAGCCCTTGGCATGCAGGTTGCATCGCTGTTGACTTGTCAGTTGACTGACGGACATAAAAAAGAGGGACTGCAAAAGTATTGTTTTTACCAGCTCTTTTTGCCCGGCCATGCAAATGACATGGCGAGCCTCTGTACACGTGTATTAAATATACATATATATGTGCATATATGTTAGTATTCGATTTTTTATGATTCAATTTTATGCTTGTAGCTGTTGTGGTTCCTGGCCAACTGGCATAAAATCAATGAAGCTGCGTCGTATTTCGGCTGTATTGGGTGGTTTGTTGGTGGAAAATGGACGCCAGTTCCTGGCGCCCTCCGCGTCGGTTGTCATTATTTATTGAAAATATAGTTTGATGAGTTTTTACTTGGCCATAGTGGTCGTGTGGTCGCTGGTTTACAGCTGCAGATGCTGCCCGAACACCTTTTCCGAATCACCTCCTTCGATTTTTCCCGTCTGGTGTGCCGTTTTTCCTCTTGCGGTCAATGGAATGGGTTTTTGTGTCTGCTTCCACGCTTTCAGTCTGTCTGTTTGCTTGTCTGAGTTCGTGGGTGTTTTAAAATTGGTTATATCAGCAAATTATTCACTTTTTTTTTGCGGCAAGAACATTAACTTTACTGCAGCTGTCTGGCAACGAAAAAGATTGAAAAAGTTTCGTAAAGCGTATTTATTCCTTTTGTGGATTCTGTAGCACCCACTACACAATTTTAATAACATAACTGAAAAAGTATTTGATTTTAACAAAGCCAAATGTATGTACATATATCCCAATTGATGTTAATTATAAAATTGTTTAACAAAGTTAAAATTGACCGACTACACGAACAATCACTAAATAAACGACAAAATAAAATATATTTTTTGGTAACTGAGCATGATCAGGAACAACATTTTAAAAAGTATGTGTCCCCTCTTTCTTATACAAATTTCAGGAATGAAATACGAACACGTCTTGTAATACCAATAAAAAATTTATTCCAAGTCTGACCAGACATTATAATCTGTATATTTTTAAGTTTGTCCAAATCTTTTCATAGTAATAAACTCAATGCCCAAATCATTAAGAGCCTCCAGCGTTGTTCTGTCATAATGAGCCGTCGCCAAATCAGTCCAAAACACTGTAGTATAATTAGCATGATATTTATCTATACATTTATTAAGGGCCGGATGAGATTTGTCCTTACAATTCTGCGCATTCTCAGCTAATCCTGCCTTTAAAAACACAGTATCGCTGATTCCACGCTCGCTAATGGCCAGCCACAAGCAGACCTTTTTAAGAAACTTTGTTTTTGTAATTTGAGTGACCTTTACTTGTGGTTAAGTATTAGGGAGCTTAATGTAATACTTTAAGTCCATTCATGGCCCTTCATTGTGAATGATACAGCTCCACCTTCCATTTGTTTTCCACTCTGAACATCCGAAATAGCTTTATAAAAAATGTTTTTTTTGAAGCCCATAGCCGAAAAGTAATTTAAAATTTCATTATTTTGACTAGGTTGGGTTATTTGAAAACGTGCAAATGTGCAAATCAAATTTCCACGCTCTGCTGTAGTAAGAGGCATTACCGCGACTACTCACTATCTGGAAAGCTAATATTTTTTGATATGCAAGAAGGAACAGTACTGTTATTTTTCGTATATTCTGTTTTTCTCTGTCGATTCATGGAACCTATTGCTAACATGTTAAATTTGTTCATATTTCATTCCCCATACCTTATGTCCTCCTTTTCTTCCGCTTCACTTTACAAATCCTCAGCTGATACGATTATGTTGCGGCCTTCTAGATGGAAAAAATTAAAATTGAAATGGAGTATATAGCATACGTATGTATGGACATACATACATACATATATCCAAGAGCTTTCGAAACGAGGGGCCATAAAAAAGTTGAACAAACTGCTATTCCGTGGGGTATGACCAGTTAATAGCATTTTCCTCGGTTACGCCCACACAATCGACACGACGTTGGGGCGAGTACTATGTGCAACAGCTTCTTTTTGTTTTCTATTTTGTCTGCAAAGCTTTGTATCTTCCCCTGTGTACGGTCTGGACCTGGAGTTATGCAGTAGGTTATGGGAAAGAAAATGAAGGAAGTATGAAGCGTTGATTGCATCACCGGATGGACAAAAAAATGAAGAGAAAAAAATCCCTAAAAAATTGGATATGAAAGACTATATGGTTGAAGGGGTGATTACTTCAGTGAACACAAAAATGCTAAGAAATGTATAGAAACTACACATACATATGTACTATATAGTGTTTTCCAAAAATGTTTTAAGAACCTTTACCAAAACATAGTTTATTAAGCAAAGTTTCTAAAATGTACAGTGTATATTTGATCCTATGCTGTGGTACTCATTTTCATTTGCCATGTTTTTTGTGAAACATAGTGCAACCCTTATTGTCCAAAGCTGCACTGTGCATAAAATCGTTCATCTTCTGTACTTGGCTTTTTATGTGTAATACTTGAAATGTTCTTGTACAAGGGTATATTGAATTTGTGTCATTGTCAAAAAAATAGACAACTTTTAACGCTATGGAGAAGAGTGCTATTAAAGCAAGACTTTTGTTTATCTCTAATATTTTCAGTGGAAAAAAATTTATAGAATTTTATTAATTCAGGGTCAGGTATTTCGTATTCGATCCACTCGACTATAGCGTTCATCCGGGCTCCGTTTTGCAATGTTTTCCCCGCTCTTGCCAAACAGTTTTTCCCGTATCAGGGACAGAACAGAAAATTCTGGAGTTTGAGCTCAATGTGAAGTGGAAACGAGATGCACTGATTAGCATTCGCTGTCCTCATACCCATCCTGCCATTTAGCCATGTTTTGTTTGTTTTTATGCTTTTCTGCAGTTTGCTGTCGTCCTCCATATTCCAGTATTTCCCTCCTACGCTCGCTTCAGCATCCATTTTGCTTTAGAACCATTTTTATCTTCAATACACGCTCATTTACGCTGTCTGATAGCTTAAGGGTACATTCATATCCGTTGTCTTTTTAAACAGGGATACGCGAACTGGATACGTTTAGTTTTTGGATCTTGATTTGTGTATTTCTGGTATCCATCTGGCTTCTTATTTCCCTGGCTTGTGTCCTTTATGTACATTGGTTCATCTTTTTTTATTTTCAAAAGTATGACCATATTTTTTATTTGTATAAGAACGAGTTGTATTAAGTGTTTTAACTTAAACCTAACTTAAATTTTATAATTTCTCAATAAGGCGAACATAGCTTAATTAGATTGATTCTTAATAATATATAAATACTTTTAAGATTTTGAAAATGTTAACCCTGCAAATGTTGTACAAAATATAAAAAAGAAAGCTTTTATATCATCAGCAATCTTATATGTATATACTGAAAGAATTATTTACTGTTTCAGAAGAAAAAATATCTACATTTAAGAGAAAGTACCTTTTTACTTAAAAGTAGGGTAATAGTTCTCAAAAGGAAAACAAAAAAACAACTCAAATCCTTACCCAGGTTATATTAAAATAAACGACATTGTCGCCGGGGACTTAATAAACTGTATTTAAGTTGGAATTATCCTTTCGGTACCCTTGAAGCGTATTATATTTTTTTTTTTACCAAATATTCGTTTAGTACGGTCGTTTCCCTGTATATTATTTTCTCTAGAACAGCAACACCTGCCGAGTCGATTTAGCCTTGTCTGTGTGTCTGTTTCTACATAAACTATAGTTTATAGAGAGTATACTATCTCAGTTTTGAAGCTTGCAGTCTTCTTTCTCTTCTCATTATAAGTTCAAAAAGGCTAGATCTGAAGACCATATCTTGTATCAGTTAAATGATGGTTATGATTATTTTATATGAGAAGTTCTCATTGAGAACTAAGACAGAACTGGATTCGATTTTCGATTGCCAACTGCAAGGGTATACAAACTTCGGCGTTCCGAAGATAGCTTCCATTCTTATTATTGGTTAGTTCTTTCCTGCGTAAGCCAATTGCCCTTCTAAGTAGCACAAGGGGTTTTAATTTAATTTTTTTCGCCCTGTTTTGCCTGTTTTATACTAAATGTCTGCTTGGGGCTATTGGGAATGTTTACTACCCAATAACAGGCATAAATGTCCAGTCCTGCTGCAACTCTAAATACAGTTGTTCTACCCTTTTGGTAAAAGGATTGCGTTTTATTGGTGGCTTTCACGTATGTCTGTCGGTTCTGTGCTTTATGAACAGCTTTTAGGGCTTTCGATGCCGCTGTGGGTTTTTCCTTTTATGACGGTCTATCCGGATACTGATTTTATTAAAATTATTTTGTCAGACTGTTGCCTGAATAAAATTAAAAACGAAATTTAAGTTTGTAGATAATTTAAAATTTTATTAAAATCCAAAATTGTGACCAGTTTCATTCATTCATTGAGTTTTAAACTTAATCGAACTGGTCACCAACTAAAGGCACAACATCAAGATAAAGAGGCAACTAACGATAATCATGAATATCTTACATATTTTTTCGTCACAAATTGTAGTGTAATTTTACTAGAGAAAT